GCCCCGGGGCGCCGCCGGCATCCCGGCCGCGTCTGGCCGGCCGCCTGCCGGGGTCCCCCCGCGCCCGGTCTGTCGCTCGGCTCCCGGGCGGCGATGGGGGAGGGCAGAAGGGGGAAGCGGCTGCGCCGCCGGGGCGGCTGGGGGCTGGCGGGGCAGCCGCGACTTGTGTCGCCTGGAGAAGGCAGCTGGGGGTGCGGGCAGCCGGCTGCGGGCGAGACAAAGGAGCTGCTCCCGCTCGTCTCCCCGGAGCGGGGGGCAGGCAGCGCGGTGCCTGGCAGCAGACTTCCCGCTCCTTCTGCTGGGCGCCAGTGCCTGCTCGTGGGAAGACTGAGGGCACAGTTTAGCGGCGTGCTGTGAAACACATGCATTCTAACCCGTCGCTTCGGTACGTCCGCGGGGAGGGATGCGAGCGGTGGCAGCAACAGTTATAATTGCTGAGAGTTTGCGGCTGAGGTTTGCAAGTAGGAAGTGCCGCACACTGCAGGGGGCTGTGCCTGTGTAGGCTTCGGTATTTAACTTAACGCATGTTAAACTGAAGGAGCTTTCCGTGTGCTTTTGTGTTTCAAAGGTGACAGTGGAAACGGAAGCAATGCCCGTGGACTTGTCTTGCTCCCTGTAATCCCAAAAGCCATCAGGTTTGTTTCCTGTCCAATTGTATTCTAACTCTATCCCGATAAAGCTCCTGAAGTCTTAAATTCAGGAGGAAGACAGTTGTGTACTCGAGGATTATTAAGTCTTGTTAGCATTGCTCTTTCATAATTTTTAATATACGCTGCTAGTGCGTGAGAAGACGACTGCAGGCGAACAGAATATGGAAGTTTCTATTAAGTGATCGCTTTTAGGTTTGTTAGCTGCAAATTCAGAGTTGGTGATTAGTTCTTTTCTAAAGGCAACTTGAACAAATGACACTGCAAAGAAGCAAAAAGCAGTTTTATGTAGCAAAGTGTAGAGTGACATCGGTGATTGCTTTTCATTGCATCTAAAAAGGCTTTTCTGCAGTTTTCCCCTCCAGTAATACCGCTAGATGCTACAGCGTCTTTTCAGAAGTTTGTGCTTTCCACAGAATGCCTTCCTCTATGACAGTGCCTTGCTTTTGTTGTCCTCTCTGCTTTCCAGGTTCTTTTATGTTGTGAAAACTAAGTAGCATTGTAAAGCTTGGTCAAATTAACTTCCAATCTATTTTACTTTCATCAGTGAAATACTTCTGGTAAGAGTACTGTACTTTGAAGTTGAGTTTTAGATCCATCTGGCACTGTTCTTGGACGTTTTTTTTTTTTTCTCCAGAGTAAGAAGACAGTATGAAAATACTACTCTTGAAATGCAAAACTTGGCTGTTTCTCTTCTGTGATAATCTCTTTGTCAGACGAGGTACTTTTAGCAGGCCTTTTATCGAGAGGGGTGATGATTTTGAGGAAGTTCAGTAGTGCTTCAGATGATTTATTAACTAGCAATTCACTTCCTTTCACTGTTGAGCTGTTTTAAAGGTACAAGTTAAATTTATTCAGAGTGCTTCCTAAAAGGAAAAAGACATTCACGGGCAGAGTCATGTTGAATTTCTGCCATAGTCTCCTGAATGGGAGGGTGGGAGGGTTTGCTTTCACTTGAGAGAGTCCGTGGTAGACATGTTCACAGGCATAGCTGGGTAATTAAGTCACTTGGATTCTAATTTTGCAAGGACTTGTATCACAAACAAGTATGCGTGTGAGAGATTGCAAGGCTAGGCACTACAAATGGTATGTGTCATCTATATTTTACTTAGCCCAATGGGGCTGGCTCTAAGCTGGGAGAAGAGCCCATTTACTGATGCCTATGTTGTGACTGTATCAAACCTAATAGTTGCTGAGTTAAAGTATAATTCTTAGCACATGTTAGTGTAAAACCCCTTCTCTGTATGTTCATGTCAGGAAATGCATTTTCATTAAGTCCTGCCTTAAGGTAAATACTAGGTTCTCTCTTAACCCGTCACTGACTTTTTCACATTGTATGTGTTAATCACCTTATTCATTCTGGAGACTTATATTATTAGTTATCAAATGTTGGCTAATGTCTGGCTATTTTAATTAGAAAATAAAATGGCTCGATGTGACACCATTTTGTTTCAGGTTGTGTGGAAGATGCGTAGTTTGAGAAATCTGCATGATTTGTAAGAGAGAAGTCACAGTTCCCAGGCTGTCTTTTGGGACTTAGAGCCTGTGGAGTACTCTTTATATTCGAGGCTTTCAAATGAAGCTTTCATGAGGCTTAAATGTTTATGTTGATGAGAATATTAAAATGCAGTAGCAGTTGGACTCTTAACAAAGATCGGCTGGGTACTCTGCAAACATACAAAACCTATATTGGGAACAGCTTAGACTTAAATCCGTTAGGTGGATCACCAAGTCAGGTTTCATTCCCAAGCCTTCACTTAGGCAAATACACTCTGTGTAATCTGGCATGCTTCCTCTCTTACAAATGGAAGATTGGGTACGAAGCTTATACTGAAGTCTGCCATAGGATTTGTGCGGTAAGTTTTGTTAGCATAAATGGAGATTACATGTATGAATCGCAACACTTGGATGTTACTTACAGTGTTACCAGTTACCAAGCAGTCAGTCTTCCAGGAGCAGTATGCATGAAGTTTAAGCAGCAGATCCTATCATGCTGTGTAGGAAATGAGAAGCCTTGACGATATGACCTTCACTGTGTGCATGGTCTGTCTCCTTTGAAGTTAGGAGAGCTAGAGTCTGAATTTCTTACACTGTAGAAAAACTGAAGACTGCAAATTTGTATTGATCTTTTGAGGTGTAATAGCTTGATGACTGGAGTGACTCTGTGTAATCTCTAAGACTTCTTCTGTGGTAGTATGAAAATAAAATGTGCTTAAAACCTGCATTTTATATGCAGCATTTTTCAGTGTGGTTTGTACTTGGTAGGGTGTACTTGAAAGTATTTGTTATTTTACTGGAACCTGATAGTTTTCCTGCTCAAAAAAATTACAGCTTTTGATTTGTTAATGCTGTTCTGTTTAATTATGCAAGTATTAAAAAAACCACCCCACTTTACTTAGAATTGCAGGCATGATATCTTTTCTTTAAAACCATGTTTTCTCTCTTTTCCAGAAAAAATGGCCCTTTTGGCATTTAGCTGTCCTCAGTTGCCAGAATTGAAATGGTGGTGTGTTAAACGCACATTTGGGAGTGGAGAATGTGTTGGAATCAAAGCATTTCTTTTTATTAGCATCAGTTAATTAGGAACTTAAATTGGATTAATTTATTTGAAATGCTTCTTGAGATAATCTGGGAAGGCAATAACAAAGTGGTATCAGGATAAGGACTGAAATCTGTGTCAGATCAGTGTCACTGAAGACAAGGAGTACTAAAGTATGAAAATGCTTTGAATGTGTAGCAACTGCATATTGCTGCAAGGCCGTGGTTAAAACTTCTAGGCTGCTCAAGCTCTGCATGCTGTTAAAATGTTTTATTAGTTCCTGCATTGGCCAGAATCTTCCCTGTGCTCTATAATGTATATTGTAAGTGTATGCATACACTTTCGAGATGAAATACTTCTGCATGCTCTCAAGATTTTCTTTATAAATAACTTAAAATATAAGAAGCTATTTGAAAACATTGGTGAAATTTGAAAAGTTTTCCATGAGGCTGAGGAGTGAAATGCTTCTGCAGTTGTTCTTATTGTGAATCATCAGACTTCTATCAGAATTTTTGCCAGAACTTTGTTAGCATGAAAACTCAGATACTCCTGGATTAGGTTTAAAAAAAAACAAAAACAAACCAACATCTGAAAGATCCAACAACTATAGTATTTTTCAATTTATAGCACATCTAAAATAATGCAGGATGTGAAGTGTTTTCTTCTACTTCCGGTGCAACTGTTGTGAAGCCTTTGTCCTAATTAGGACCATGTTCAAGAGCAGCAGAACAAAAATAGAATGTCAGCTTAGTCTGGGAGGGCGACTTATTTACAGTGATTTCTTTAGACGCATCCCCACATGAACTTACATACTTTGGTAACAACTGGAAAGGCAGTGAATGAAAGCAGCATAACTTACAGCCCAAGCGAGTACTGAAATTGTCTGAATGTGACCCTTGTCATTGTAGTGCCAGAAATGGGAGGTTCTTGGTGTATTTATTTCAGTGTGATGAATTAAGGGCTCTGTTTATGAGGCTTCAGTGTAACTTCTAAATCGTGTACAAATTTAATACAAGTGGGTTCAATAAACAGTTGTTACTAGGAATATTATTGATTAGAACTGGAATCAATAAAGCATGTGGAGTTTGGAGAGATATTTAATAACCGTCACTATTCTGTATGGAGATTGCCATGAAAAGTGAGGACGTGCGTGAAAACATTTCTTAGTTTATTTTAAATGACCAGCATTGCTGAAGAATCATCTGATTGTTGAGAGGAAGATTGGAAATGGATTATCTCTCCAAAACAGATGTATGTTTGTGTTCTTCCATCTCAAACCTCTGTTGATATGAAAAGCTGTGTAACAATCAAAACATAATAAAGAAATTTAGGTAAAAACAATACTAGCTGAGTAGTAAAACACACCTGTGGCTGATGCAAAAGTCGCTGAGCATTTGTATTCCATCCCGATTGGCATACTGAGCTCTCATTCTAAACTTAGTGACAGAAACTCTATGTTTTTGGTACTTTTGATAGCTATTAAAGATGTCTCTCTTAGGTAAGTGATAAGATATCCTTTACATTTTGTTACTTTTTTCTATTTGGTAGCTAACCTTTGATTAAAACAGCATAGTATGCTCTGAAGCTGCACTGGATACTAATTAACTCACTTCGGTGTTTAAAGCCATGCTGTCTCCTAAAGGTTTCCTGCTGTTAGCACTGGATAAATATTTATGTTACAGCAAGGCATTAACTTCAACCCGATGAATAGTGCATACAACTTTGATATTTTTGTTAACACTAAACACCATGATCTAGTACTATTACTGTATTTTATTGCAGTTCTTTTTTTTGGAAAGGGCCGGGGGGGGAGAAGGCCGTTACACTTTAAATATGCGATAGACAATTACATCTAATACTCAATAATTAAGCTGTCTAGCAGTCTGAGTATTGTACAGAAGCTAGTGCTGGATAATATAAGGTCTTCATGAATGTCTGATTAATAGACAAGGCTGTACTATATCATTGTGGTTTGTTTTCAATTACTTGAATCCTGTTCTCATATGTAAAGACAATTGTTTTGTATTTTTAATTTTTTTTAATCCTACAGTATTTGCTGTACTAAAGAAAATGACTGGAATATGTGTAAAAGCATTAAGCTGACCTAATAAATCTTAAAAAACCTGCATTTAAAAGGTTTTTAATACCAACCACCATCTCTGAAAATTAGGATACTGTGAATATTTTCAAACAGTCTGTCATGTAAGACATGTTGGGTATCCTATAGTAACATCTCTATCTGAAGAAGCAGGCTATAGGATCTTCAGTTACAAAAAAGAAAACTTTTTTCTCCAGTAACACTCCTTCTAAGTGTTTGCTGGCTGGAGGAAATTGTGTTACTTTTCCAGAGCTGAAGCAGATTGCAAAATCAGACTGCAGTGTCATATATTTTGTGTTAGGCTGATTAAGGGCTTTTTTTTTTTTAAAGTGTGGGGAGGAGTGATATTGG